CTCCGACAAGGCAAGCTGATGTGAGAGTCCAAGGAATTTTGTGAACTGGTTGGTTTCATTTTGGAAGCTTGAAATAATTCATCACTATAGAACAGTATAATTTATGTATTTATGTTTCCTATCTACTGTCTGTGTCCACCCAAGTGCCTACTTGATGCTCCAATGTTGAGTGCATATATATCCACAATTGTTATATCCTATGAATAAATTGATTTGTTAATCATTATATTAAAAAAAAGAAATTATATGCCAACAAACTGAACAAGCAGGAGGAAATGGAAAACTTTCTAGAAACCTACAAACTACCAAAACTGAAACAGAAAGAAATAGAAAATTTGAACAGACCCATAACCAGCAAAGAAATTAGAACAGTCATCACAAATCTACCAACAAAAGAAGTCCTGGGCCAGATGGCTTCCCACGGGAGTTCTACAAGACATCTAAAGAAGTTGATACTTACTCTTCTCAAACTGTTCCAAAAAAATAGAAATGGAAGGAAAACATCCAAAATCATTCTATGAGGCCAGCATTACCTAGATTCTAAATCAGACAAAGATCCCACTGAAAGGAGAATTATAGGCCAATATCCCTAAAGAACATGGAAGCAGAAATTCCCAATAAAATTCTACCAAATCAAGTTGAACAAATCAATAATTATTCACCACAACCAGTTATTTCTGGCCTACAGGTTTGGTTCAATATTCACAAATCAATTGTGATGCACCATATTAATAAAAGAAATGACAAGAACCATAGGATTCTCTGAACAGATACAGCAAAGGTATTTGACAAAATTGAACATCCTTTACTGAGGAAAAACCCTCCACAGTGTAGGGATAGAGGGAATATTCCTCAACATCATAAAAGCTTTATATGAAAGACCCACAGCGAATATCATCCTCAATGGGGAAGAATGGAAAAGTCTTCCCCTATGATCAGGAACATGACAGAGATGTCCACTTTCACCATTACTATTTAACATAGAACTAGAAGTCCTAGATTCAGCAATAAAAATAAATAAATGGCAATCAAATTGGCAAGCAAGAAGTCAAATGTTCACTGTTTGCAGAAAACATGATACTCTGTAGAAAACCTAAAAGATGCCACCAAAAAATTGCTAGAATACATGAATTTAGCAATGTTGCAACATATAAAATCAATGTGCAGGGGATCCCTGGGTGGCGCAGCGGTTTGGCGCCTGCCTTTGGCCCAGGGCGCAATCCTGGAGACCCGGGATCGAATCCCACGTCGGGCTTCCGGTGCATGGAGCCTGCTTCTCCCTCTGCCTGTGTCTTTGCCTCTCTCTCTCTCTGTGTGTGACTATCATAAATAAATAAAAATTTAAAAAAAAATCAATGTGCAGGATTTTTTTGCATTTCTGTGTATCATTAACAAAGCAGGAGAAACAGAAATCAAGGAATTGTGCCCACTTCCAATTGCACTAAAAACAATGAGCTATCCAGAAATAAACCTACCTAAAGAGGTAAAGTTCTGTACTCTGAAAACAATAGAATACTTATAAAAGAAATCGAAGAGGATAAGCATTCCATGTTCATGGTATGTAATGACAAACATTGTTAAAATGCCTTTACTTCCCAAAATAATCTACACATTTAATAGATCCCTATCAAAATGTCACCAGTATTTTTCACAGAGCTAAGCCAACAATCTTAAATTTTTATGGAACCACAAAAGACCCCAAATGGCCAAAGTAATCCTGAAGTACAAAAAGAAAGCTGGATGTATCATGATTTGGATTTCAAGCTGCATTACAAAGATGTGATCATCAAGACAGTGTGGTCCTGGCACAAGACAGGCACATAGATCAGTGGAACAGAACACAGAACTCAGAAATGGGCCCTCAACTCTATGGTCAAACCATTTTTGACAAAGTTGGAAAGACTATCCACTGGAAAAAGGGACAATCTCATCAATAAACAGTGCTGGAAAAATTGGACAGCCATGTGCAGAAGAATGAAAAACTGGACCATTCTCTTATACCAGACAAAAAGATAAACTCAAAATGGATGAAGGATCTAAATGTGAGAAAGGAAACCATCAAAATCCTAAAGAAGAACATGAGCAGAAACCTCTTTGACCCCAGCCACAGCAACTTCTTATTGGACACAATGCCTGAGACAAGGTAGAGAAAAGCAAAAATGACTATTGGGTCTTTACCAAAACAAAAATATTCTGCACAGCAAGGAAACATCTGATAAAGCTAAGAGACAACCTACAGAATGGGAGAAGATACTTGCAAATGACGTATCAGATAAAGGGCTAGCATCCAAGATCTACAAAGTCTTACCAAAATCAACACTCAGAAAATAAAAAAAAAATCCAATAAAGAAATAGGAAGATGACATGAGCAGAAATTTTTCTAAAGAAGACATTCAGATGGCCAACAGACACGTGAAAAGTTCAAGGTCACTCAGCATCAGGGAAATACGCGTCAATACCACACTGAGATAGCACCTCACACCTGCTAGAATGGCTAAAAGTAACAAGACCAGGAAACAACAGGTGTTGGTGAGGATACAGAAAAAGAACTGTCTTACACGGTTGGTGGGAATGCAAGCAGGTGCAGCAGCTCTGGGAAAGAGTCTCTCCAGCAGAAACAGTTCCTCAAAAAGTTAAAAACAGAGCTGCCCTACAACCCAGCAATGCACCACTAAGTATTTCCCCAAAAACAATTATTTGAAGGGCCACCTGCCTCCCACAACGTGCATAGCAGCAGTGTCCACTATACCCAAATTGTGGGAGGAGCCATAATGTCCTTCGACAGATGAATGGATGAAGAAGATGTGGTTTATATATGCAGTGAGATAGGACTCAGTCATCAGAAAGGATGAAATCCTACCACTTGCAATGACTTAGATAGATCTAGAGGGTATTATGCTGAGTGAAATAAGTCAATCAGAGAAAGACAAATACCATATGATCTCACTCCTATGTGTAATTTAAGAAAGAAAACAGATAAACATATGGGAAGAGGGAAAGAAAAAGAGGAGAGAGGGAAACACTGCGTGAGAGCCTCTTGACAAGAGAGAACAAGCTGAGGGTTGAGGGAGGGAGGTGAGTGGGGGATGGGTATGAAGGAGGGCACCTGTGTGATGAGCCGTGGGTGTTGAGCGTGATGAATTACTGAATTCTACTCCTGGAACCAATATTGCCCTGTATAATAACTAAAATTTAAATTTAAAAAATGAGCAAAGAATTCCTCCAAGTCAACAACAAGAAACCAACCCAACTTAAAACTGAAGAAAAGATCTAAGCAAACACCTCACCAAGGAGGATTTGCAGATGGAAAATAAGCTCTTTCCCTGCTGGTGGAAATCCAAAATGGCGCAACCACTCTGGAAGACGGCTTGGCGGTTTCTTATGGAGCTAAACCTAACCCTTGCCATGAGCCACAAATGTCTTCTTATTTATGGGACTGGCTTGAAAAGATCGCTCACGTGAAAGTCCGCACATGATGCTGTGGCAGCTCTCCTCAGTGTCCTTACTGTGTGACGGAGTAGAGACACGCGGACATCAACACAATGGAAAACCCCTTGCCAAGAGCTTTGCTCTTTGTATAAAACTTGTGTCATTGCTCTCCGGAATCATATCAACTTAGGCTTTTATGCTTTCAACATAATTTCCACTTCATGATAATCCCCAGGTGGTCTCTCATTCCTCTATGCATCTCCCTTTAATATCACTCTCCTCAAACTGGTTGAATTCATACCTTCGTTTTACTAAGTTATACCGTCCCATCTCAGTTCATTTGGGACATCGATTGCTTATTTTCCTTTTCCGTTCTCCATGCAGACTTCTTATCCAAGCCTCTGTTTCTTTTTATCCTTGTGTTTTGGAGAGCTCTTCCAGGACTCTTAATAGGGTGTTCATAGGGACTGGTCACAAGAGTTCCGACTAGAAGACCTTTGTGTGTTGTGGATTATAGAGCTATCTTGACGGAAGCTGGCTTAACTCAGAAATCCCACTTTTCAGGCAAAGTTGTAGCTTTTAAATCTTATGTTTTGGGATCCCTGGGTGGCGCAACGGTTTAGCGCCTGCCTTTGGCCCAGGGCGCGATCCTGGAGACCCGGGATCGAATCCCACGTCGGGCTCCCGGTGCATGGAGCCTGCTTCTCCCTCTGCCTGTGTCTCTGCCTCTCTCTCTCTCTCTCTCTCTCTCTCTCTCTCTCTCTCTCTCTCTGTGACTATCATAAATAAATAAAAATTTTAAAAAAAATAAATCTTATGTTTCTCAGATGAATAGATATTCATGTTACCATCTCCTGACAGGTAACGGCCAGCCTGCCAACTTCCTGGACTCTCCAGAGTGGAAGTAGAATGGGAACCCCCTTGCCCACATGCAGAGGCCTGGGAGACCTGCTTCCTGGCAAGGAGCCTCCTCTCCACCCTCAGCCAACTCCATGACCCTGAGTCCAGACACAGCCACCCAATTCCTCTGCCCTGTCTCCACTTGGATGAGCTCACTCCCTTCTGTACATGCCCAAGTATAGTTCCCAACACCCCCATTTGTAGAGGAGATTCAGGATGGTATCCATTGCAATCATTTCTAGGACCCCATATCTGATTGGAGGGGGAGAATGACCCGAATCAGGCAAGCAGGCAATGGTCTTGATCCCAGGCCACCACCTCATCCTCCAGGTTTCTGAGCAGGTAACTCTGAAGATGGAAAGTGCAACCCATAATCAGAGAGCCTGAAAACAGAATAGGAGAGAACCTTCATAAGGTTCCCCAAGTTCATCAAGTGCAGCACTAACCCCCTCAAGGAGACAGGGCTGGGGAACAGCTGAGCCAGAAGCAGAGTCCAGATCACTAGGACCAGGTTTACTGGGCCCTCACCCTACTGGGCACCAGGAACGGGGGACTATGACTGGGGTTCAAGATCTTTAAATGTGTCCTTTCCTCTATGGGGACCCACATGCAAATCACCTCTGGTGCTCCTACAAGAAGTCAGCATCACAGGCAGAGGCCAGAACCTGGGTCTCCATCCTGCAGACAGCCATGCAGATGCCGTGGTCCCTCCTCTGCCTGCTGGCAGCTCCCCTGGGTGAGGGCCTGGGAGCTCCCGGGTGGGCAGGGGCCTTCCTGTCAGATGGGACAGACTCACAATGACCCTCCTTGTCCCTAGGTGTCCTGTCTGAACTCACACTGCAGGAGTCAGGGCCAGGACTGGTGAAGCCCTCACAGACCCTCTCTCTCACCTGTGTTGTGTCCGGAGGCTCCGTCACCAGCAGTTACTACTGGAACTGGATCCGCCAGCGCCCTGGGAGGGGACTGGAATGGATGGGGTACTGGACAGGTAGCACAAGCTACAACCCGGCATTCCAGGGACGCATCTCCATCACTGCTGACACGGCCAAGAACCAGTTCTCCCTGCAGCTGAGCTCCATGACCGCCGAGGACACGGCCGTGTATTACTGTGCAAGAGACACAGTGAGGGGACCTCAGTGTGAGGCCAAACACAAACCTCTCTGCAGGGACGCAGGAGGGGCTGGGCTGAAGGGGCACTCAGATGACCAGATGGTGCTCAGGTCACCAGGGGGCACACAGGTCGCCAGAGGGCAGCCCAGATCAGAAAGGGGGCAATCAGGACAACAGGACCCTTTACCACAGAGAGAAGCCAGGAAGCAGGTGCAGAGCAGGAATTCAGGAGGGAGGACCTTCCTGTCACTCTCTGGGCCTTTCCCTCTCTGATACTGTTTGCCAAACTCCCTCACTTTGGCACCTGGATTCTTCTGTATTTCAGGCCCAGGGTGACCTCAAGACCTTGGCACTGATGCCATTTTCACCATGTACAGGGAGTGCACCTTGAGGTCAATGCACCGCTGCCTCCCTCCCTGTACTCCTTTCTCTGACATTGTCCCTGATCAGACCCCTTTCATCTCATCAGAAATAGTAACTCAGGCATTACCTGACGGCCACTGTAGTCTCCATCCTATAACATTAGAGAATTGGGGTTGACATGATATATTTGTGATCTCTCCACGGCTACCTCTCTCTCTCACTGGTCTTCAGACAGCACACAGCCCTTCCTTCTCCTGTGTGTCGCAGAGTTTCTGAGCTCAAGACATCACGACAGGGCCATCCTCCCTAGTCTGCACACACTGGGCTGGGCTGGCATCTTGCTCCGTCCTCCTTGGGTCCCCTTGTTTCTCACCCCATTCCACAAGGGTGATTTCTGAGCTCCCTGCAACTGTTCTGTGGCAGAGTTTCGGGATTCTTGGCTCAAGGAATCAAAGGATGAATCTCGTGAACACAAAACTGTGAAATGAGGAGGAACTTTATTATGTGAAGGTGAGAACAGAAAGGAAAGCTAGGAAAGCTCTGTAGAGGAGCCCCTGGGTGGCTCAGTGGTTAAGGCTTCTGCTCAGGCTGTGATCCTGGGGTCCTGGGATCGAGTCCCACATCGAGTGTTCCAGAGGGAGTCTGCATCTCCCTCTGCCTGTGTCTCTGCCTCTCTCTCTGTGTCTCTCATGAATATTATTAAATAAATTTATTTTTATTGGTGTTTAATTTGCCAACATATAGAATAACACCCAGTGTTCATCCCATCAAGTGCCCCCCTCAGTGCCCGTCACCCAGTCACCCCCACCCCCCCTCCCCCTCCCTTTCTACCACTCCTAGTTCGTTTCCTAGAGTTAGGAGTCTCTCATGTTCTGTCTCCCTTTCTGATATTTCAACAAAGGGTTTTAATGAATAAACAAGTAAAATCTTGAAAGAAGAAAGAAAGAAAGAAGAAAGAAAGAAAGAAAGAAAGAAAGAAAGAAAGAAAGAAAGAAGAAAAGAAAAAAGAAAAGAAAAGAAAAAAGAAAAGAAAAGAAAAGAAAAGAAAAGAAAAGAAAAGAAAAGAAAAGAAAAGAAAAGAAAAGAAAAGAAAAGAAAAGAAAAGAAAAGAAAAGAAAAGAAAAGAAAAGAGAAAAGAGAAAGGTTTGTAAAGTGAGAGAGGTCCAGAAGGGGTTGCACTGAGGGCTTTTAAGATCCTCTTTCATAGGAAACTGACCAGGGCTCTTGGTAAATCCCCTGTCCATGTCCCCATGCATTTGTGGGTATCAGGTCTCTATGTAGAGCAAACAGGGTGGACTTGTAACTATCGTGGAATACACAAGGTGTCCTTGTAATGTATCACTCTGTACATCTGGGATTTCTCTGCCTGGTTATGCAGCTCCCTTCATGAGCCTGGTCAGTAGCCCCCTACCTGTCTCTCCCGCCCTAGCATCACCTGTCCCCTACTTATGCCCCCCCACCTAGAATGGTTCCCTAACTGCCCTTAGGGAATGGGACAATGATGCCTTGGCTGCTTCCTGCTGAGATGGGGCTGCAGGTCCTGCAGCAGTTGGAATCTATCCAGGGATGGATCCAAGGGCCTGAGGAAGGCCTGGGGGGGGGGGCTGATTGACAGCCAATGGTGCCTGCATTGATACGTGCAGGAGAATAAGCATAAGCATGAGGTTCCAATTTCTAACTACGTCTCTTAGATGACACCCGCATTACCAATTTGGTCAAACAAAACATGGGATACCTGGATCCCATTAAATTGATAATGAATGTCCCCTAATGAAAGGAGAAAAAATGAGTGGGAAATACCAGAAAGGGAGACAGAACATGAGAGACTCCTAACTCTGGGAAATGAACTAGGGGTGGTGGAAGGGGAGGTGGGCGGGGGGTGGGGGTGACTGGGTGACGGGCACTGAGGGGGGAACTTGATGGGATGAGCACTTGGGGTTATGCTATATGTTGGCAAATTGAACACCAATAAAAAATAAATTTACAAAAAAATTAATGTCCCCTAGTAATTGGGACACCTTGTGGGAGTTATCTGTGACGTCACAGCTACACGTGTGAGGAAACTTCTCACACCGCAACTGGTGTATCAATCCTACACTGTCAATAGGGGCTCAGTATTGGAGAAGTCCCGCTCTGACGTCACTTTATTCTTGGTTGAGGGTGTTTATAAAGGCCTCCGCAATCAAGCCTCCTGTTTCCCTTATCTCGTGTTGCCGTCCTGACTTAGGTCCTGCAAGTGTCATCGGGAGCAGTTGTCTTTCTGTCACTGCCCTATTTCACGCAGCATAATACCCTCCGGTTCTGTCCACACTGAAGCAGATGGTGGGTATTGATCCTCTCTGAGGGCTGAGGCACATCCCAGTGTATGCATAAGCCACATCTTCTGTATCCATCATCTGCCGAAGGACACTGAGGCTCCTCCCGCGATGTGGCTACTGTGGACATTGCTGCTGTGAACATGGGGGTGCAGGTGCCCGTCGTTTCACCTCATCGGTATCTTTGGGGCGAATCCCCAGCAGTGCACTTCCGGGCTCATGGGGTAGCTCTATCTCTATTTTTACCTTCTGGGGACCCCGCACACTGTTTTGCACAGTGGCTGCACCAGTTTGCATCTCCACCCACAGGGCCGAGGGTTCCCCTTGCTCCGCATCCTCTCCAACATCTGTCGTTTCCTGCCTTGTTACTTTTCACCATTCTCACTGCTGTGAGGTGGGACCTCATCGTGGTTTTTTTTTTCTTAATTTATTTTCTCTTTGTTTTTTATTGGAGTTCGATTTGCCATGTTTTCATTCATCAAGGTTTGGATGTGTATTTCCCAGATGGCAAGTGATGCAGAAGTGGTTTCATCTCCCCGTTTTTTTTTTTTCCCACCAGAAAAAAATTTTCAGCCTTCGTTATTCTTTTTTTAACAAAAGGCCCCAGGGAGAGGGAACTAGGGGAAGTGTGAGGAGGGGAAGCGAGGCCCCAGCCCCACAACCCCTCCCCACCCATCCGTTTCCCCCTGACATATTTATACTCTATGTACAAGCCCCGGGGGTGGGGGGCAAGGGGCACACCCTCAGCTAACTGAGGCTGCAGGCACCCTTAGGAGCTACACTGGTAGGAGAGGGGATGCCAGAAAACCAGTGTCCATACCCCAGAGGGAACTATTTAGACCCAATGATCCCGCACAATCACCACAGAGGGGATGCCCAGGAGCCACTGGGAGGCCCCAGCAAAGGTCACCGTCCTGGGGTCTCCAGTGCTCCAGCACCACCCCCAGGCAGGTAAGCAGGACGGCACCTGGGCCTCCCCTGCACCTGCTCCTGGGCCTCCCTGGGCCCCCCTCGGGCCCTGGGCCTCCTCTGGGCCACACCCCAGGGTCCTCCCCAGCTGGGCCCACGGCCTCCAGGGAAGGAGGATTGGGGGTGGCTCTGTGTCACTGTGGTACTACTGTGCTGGGTATAACTGTGACTACCACAGCATTTCAGCGCCCATCAAAATCCCCATCCCGGGGTCCCAGGCATGGCCCTGCCCTGGGTGCAATGGGGACACCAGCCCCTGGATTTGGAGTGGAGCCACCTCACCAGAGGCGTGCTGGTCACCACAGCGGTGTGACCCCGAACCCAAAACCCTGGGGGCAGAAGACTCGGCCCCCTCGGCTTCAGGGACAGGGCCAGCCAGCCTCCCCCAACCGGGTCCTGTCTGCTGCCTGCTGCCTGCCGGACCGCCCAGAATCACGCAGGCCAGGGCCACCCCAAACCTCCCTCAGAGCCCCTGTCTGGGCGGGCCCGGCATGCAGGCAGGCTGGACCCAGGGCCTGGCCTCCCCTCCCTCCAGCCACTGCCCCAGGAGGTGGGGCTTCTCTCCACGCCCGCAGGGGGGCATCCCCTCCTCCCCTCCTCCCTGGGGAGACCGGGCAGGAGAGGGGCCCAGATCACCGCAGCAGCCCGGGGCCCTGGGGCAGAGGCAGGGGACCCCCAGGGGTCCTTCCTCTACACTCACCTCCGGGGACTTTTTGACAAGGAGCATTGCACTGTGCTACTACGATAGCAACTACCACAGTGACAGAGGCAGCAGCAAAAACCCAGGTGGAGCCCCAGGGCCCCCAGGCCTGGCTCCCCAGGGTCAGAGCCAGGGCCAATCGCCCCCAGAGCAACCGGCGGCCAGCTCGGCCCATGGGCTGGGGTCCAGGTACAACGTGCACCCACAGCCAAGGTCCCACAGGGCCCAGCAAGCTGGCAGGCACACCCCTGGCCTTCCACACTCATGGCCAGGAAGGAGTCCTGGAAGGACAGAACCGAGGCCAGGACACCTGCAGTGCTTGAGCCCCCAGTGGGCAGGACCCCAGAGACCAGCAGGCAGGTGGACAGGAGGGGTGATGCAGCCAGGCCCCTGAAGGTCGTGTAGGAGCTCACTGACATTGGAGGGACCACAAGGTTCACGGGGCGCAAAGCTCCTCCCAGCCTGTGGCCGTCCTGAGGGAGGGGGCAGCTCCTGGGCTGCCCAGGGGGCATCTAGGGGCCTCTCCCCAGGACAGGCGCTGTGCAGGCTCTGGCTGTACTGCGTCTTGCTGCTCAGTGGCAGGAGGCCCCGTGGGCTACGAATCCACCCCACTGAGTGGCCTCCAGGGACAGCCCCCGGGAGGAGCCCACCCTACTCACGATTTGCGAGGGTGCCCGGAGCTGTGCTGCCCCTGAGGCCGGGACCCCGGCGCGTCCTAGACAGGCTCCACCCCCGCCCACACCCAGGCTTCTGTACCCAAGGGCTGCATCCCCAGGAGGGAGCCCCCACTGGGTGGACCCTTGTAGCCGGGTGGCCGCAGGATGGCTTGGATGCGAACTGGGGATGTGGCTCCGCGTTTCCTACGGGACTTAACAGAGGAAGAGACCAAGCTCCAGCCCACCTCTTCCAGGAGGGCAGCGGGGGTGGGTCAGGCACAGGGCAGTGGCGCTGGGGACTCTTCCCTCCCATGGGGCCTGCCTGCAAGCCACCACCTTCCGCCCCCACCATCCACCCCCTCCAGTGACCCCTCAACCAGAGCCCAGGCCCAGCCCAGGTTCACAGGTGCCCAGGGACTCTCCCTCCCCGGCCCCCGCCCTGGGGTCGCAGGTCTGAGCTCCACCCCACAGCAAGCCGTGCACCCCGAGGTCCTGCTGGCCCGGCAGGCACAGAGCAGGGGCTCTCAGATGGTGTCCTGGGGCTCCTCTCCCTGCCCAGCCTCCCCAGTGGCTGCAGAGGGCAGGCTTCAGTCTCCTGCCCCAGCAATGGACCTGCGTCCCTCCCAGAGCAGCCCCCACCCCCTCCAGGGCCCTTCTGGTCCTGCCTCTACCCTCCCCGTCCTGAGGAAGCTCCTCCTGCCAGCCCCCTCCCAGTGCTGGGCCCCACTTATTGTCAAAGGGTGTCACACGGTGCGATATAGCTACGGGTACCACAGTGATGCCTCCCATAGCAGCAACCACGGCCCGGGGCACCCTGGGGCACTGCCCTGACCCAATCAGCCGCCTCACCCCTGGGCCACAGGCCATTGGCCTCTAGCCTCTGGCCCTGAAGGGCTGCGCTCCGCATGCTGAGGGCCTCCCGGGTGGACTCTCCATGTCGGGCAGCATCCAGGGCGTCCAGCAGGGCCGTGCTGCGGTCAGGGGAGGAAGCAACCACAGGCCACCAGGGGCCTGGGTGCTCACAGAGCCCAGCCCAGCGGCCACCCTGCCCCCTCGGGGACACGCAGCGCGGAGGCCGCAGGCTGGACTCCACAGCCGGGCAGCCGGGGCCCTGGGCAAGCCTGCCCAGCTAAGAAGAAGGCTGGAGCCCAGAGCCCTGCACCAGCCCACAGGGCCTCCCCCGGGGGCCCTGGCCTCCTCACCATCCACCGCACATGAGCCACAGTGGGGGCCGGACCCCAGGGGGGACCCAGGTCCCCTCAGTCAGGCCCCATCTCCTACCCCCCAACCCACGCTTCCTCCCAGGGTCACAGCTGCCTCAGCTGCTTCCTCCAAGGCAGACGGACGGGACTGTGGCCTCCACCAGGTCAGGATACGGGCAGCTGTGAGCTGCACCCCCTCCCCCACGTCCTGGGGACAGGCCATACTGTCCAAGCCTCTGTCACTATGGGCACTGGAATGGCATCTCCAACAGCGACACGGCCTGTGCTCAAAACCAGCAGCCCTCCCTGGGCCCACGGTCCCCGCACGCTGTCCTCCCAATGGCACAGGCCAGTGAGCTCCAGAGAGCCCCAGTCCCCAGCGGCAGACACGGTGGGGGCAGACCGAGGGACGCTGCCCTCTGAGCATTGGGATCCAGTGTCATCACCCCAGGAAGGAAGGATGTGACCACGCCCTGACCCGGCCCCTCAAGCCCTCCTGCCCAGAGCTGGGCCCTCTTCTCATGCCCGCCCTGCCTGGGCCCTGGGGAGCCCCCTGCACCCTGAGCTCCAGCCTGGAACCTGACCTGGAGCTGAGCGCATGCCCCCAAGGGCTCCCCGTGCTCTGGATGCCAGCCTGTCTCCCAGGTCCCAGCTCCCTTCCTGGGCACCTGTCCAGGGGAGGGCATATGCAGAGGGTGCTGCGGGGCAGGGGAGGGGCTGGAGGATCGCAGCTGAGGATGTCACGACCTCACCCCCACCCCACGCCTGGGGGAATGGGCAGGAGGGACACTGTCGCGGTGGGACACCTGCACAGCAGTTGAGGAAAGACCCCAGGCCCCTCCCTGACCCTCTGCACCTGCGCTTGTGGATCCCCCCCACGGACACCCGGACTGGTCAGCAGGCTGAGTAGCAGACCCCCTGGGAGAGAGGATGGACCCGACATGTCCAAGAGGCCCCGACCCAGGAGGGCAGGGGGTCCGGCCAGCAGACCCAGGCTCTGGCTGCAGCCACACTGCTCCATGCGGGGTGCCTGGGGGTGCTGACCTCACCTCAGATCCCACCCGCCCACAGGACCCTCACCTGGCAGCAGCCTGCATGGGATACACCTGGGGACTCAGGGCCTCTGGGGCTCAGGACTGTCCAGCAAGGAGAAGCCCCCACCCCTCCACCAGACAGGCCAGGAGCTTTCAGACCCGGTCTGTGTCACGGTGGTACAGTAGCAGCTGGTACCACAGTGACACCATCCAGGCCACAAACCCCTCCTCCAGGTTAGGGGCGGCGAGCAGAGGGCCTGGAGCCTGGGGGGCAGCGCCTGCTCTCTCGGGCAGCAGACGCCCCCACACCTCACCCTGGTCCTCGGGGGCTTCTGACAGCCTGCGGGGAGGTCCTGGTCCAGGAGAGGGGCAGCCCGGGGCAGCCAGGGAGACCCCAGCAGTACTCCTGGTCTGGGGCAGATTTTGTAAAGGCCTGAG